TTATTTTAATTGTTATGTTGTGTTTTAGTGTACAGCACTTTGTATCAGCTGTGGTCGTTTTAAAGTGCTTTATAAATAAGGTTGGTATGGTATGAAGTGAATATAATATATTTATGTTTAAGACAGAGATGGGCTGATATGACTTGTACTCCATTTTATCTTTTCCTGCTTTTGGTATGATGAATATTATTGCTCGTTTCCAGGATGGGGAGGTCTTGCCCCTTTAAACGAAACCCCATGATTAGAGCATTTTAGCAGCAAAGGTGCTATAGATTTCCTCAAAGTTTTATACCACTCAGCTGGTAATCCGTCTCTGCCTGGTGCCTTGCTTTCCTTCGATTTTGACACGGCTTTATTGACATCTGCTTCTGTTATGTCTGTGGTTATCCATTTATTTTGTTCTGCGCCAATTGAGGGATCATCCAAAGAACCTAGAAACTGATTTATTGATGGAAGCTTGATTAGTTAGGGCTGACTATTTAAATTCCTAAAATGTATTTCAAATGACTTGTGCTTTACACCAGAATAAATAAATGTCCTGTTGGTAACAGGGTTTTGTTTGTCTTTAAGGATGAATCTGTGCAATTGTTGTATTTTAATCGCTGAGCCAAGATTTGTTTTTGCTTGAGGTCAATTTTTTCTGATTTAGTTTAATATATTTGAGTTTAAGTTCCACTTTATTGAGTTTGTTTAATTCTGCTTTTACGATAGCAATTTGCAGAATGAGAATAGAAAAAGAATGAGTTCCTAAACAAATGACTCATTAGGGAGTCTTGGTTGAAAACAAAAGTCCCCAGACGATGTTTGGGAGGTGGAGGGAGTCTCTCCTATAGGCAATAAGGCTCAATGCACACCCAGCCTTTAAACTGGCTCCCAAAACAATAGTTGTCTATTGTAATCTACCTATTGGAAACAGAAATGCCTATTTTGTTAAGATTAACAAAGGCCAGATGTCTGACGGTGTATTTTTATGAAAATATTCGATTCCTTGTTCTTTCACTGGATCCGATCTCTATGATTGCAAATCTTACAACAGGGATGTTAAATACATTTGCGGACGGGTTTATCTTGGTGAGGAGGCTGCATCATGACGACAGCTGAAACTTAATAAAACTTTCAAGAAACTCCAGCAGGTTGTCTCCCTCTGTGTCTTCAGGAATAACATACACACGGATGTTGTTTCTTATATTTTATCTCTGTTGCTTTTAGTTTGAGACGGCAACTCCGCTCTTTCTCTGGTCTCCTTCATGTTTGCCACGATTTTATTTACAGTAGCTTTCCTTTGACCTCCTCTCTGAAACTGGTTAAATTTCTCTTCATGTCTCTGGAGAAGTTGCCATGAAAGCAACTAAAATCAGTACAAGTGGATAAAATCTCTGTGGTTAGCGCTGATGCTAGCTTGAAGTCCTTCCTGTTTTGGTCGAATACGTCTTCATCAATTTTTCCTTTGGAGACTGTCATTCCTATGTTTTGTGTCCGGTTTGGTGGACAGTTATTTTTTTGGTGTCTTTTCTGTTTTTATTATAAGTTCATGGATGCTAAAAGGTTAATTCAGCTCAAGCGAAGGGGAGTTAGCCCACTGCGTTGGGAGCGCTCATTCAATGTGTCCCCATATTTTAACAAATGTATTAAAAAAAACGTAACGGGATTAATAGAAGAGCGACGTTGTGATGGCTTCCTAAGGGTGGAGTGTTGGAAAGAGCAGGACTTTCTTAAAGAGAAATAGTCCCAATTTCAAGGGATCATATTTCTTTTAAGTCATATTTGATACAGCATTTTTTTAACAACTAGAAGTAACAGAGTTACTTGATTGTGTTATATAAAATGATACTGTCGCTGGAAACCCATAATACTTCCACTATAAATGTATTGTTTTTTTTGTATAAATGTTTACAAATGTTCAGTGCCTAATAAAATGAATATAAACAATTTATAAAGTAAAACTTAGTTTCCTTTCAGTTTCATAGAATTTGAATTTTGCTGAAGTACACTGTAATAGATAATGCCTCTTTCTTGGCTTCTGTTTACGCATCAATAAACGGTTACACATCCTAAAGTGCTGTTTTATCTTTTGCTTATGCGTCCTGCAGGAAAAGAAGAAGAAGTTTGAGAAAGAGAGTGAAAAATATTACTCTCTGCTCGATAAACATCTGAATCTCTCTGCCAAGAAGAAGGAGAGTCAGCTTCAAGAGGTCGGATGTGGCTCAAGTGTTTTGCATTGGTTCGGTATTGAAATGTGAAACGAATAATTACACCGTTGCGGTCAGTCCAGTAATCAATCTTCTTTGCTTTTTCCTGAAGGCTGATGACCTTCTTGATAGGGAGCGGGTGAACTTCTATGAATCGTCAGTGGAATACGTATACCAGATCCATCAAGTTCAGGACAGGAAGAAGTTTGACGTTGTGGAGCCGGTGAGTGCTGCCGGCGGTTTCCCACTCTTCCTCTTTGCTACCGCACGCGCAGGGAAGAGGGCCTTTAATTCACCTCGACAGTCGCGCTTTCAGCCACAGTCTGAAAATATGTTTCGTCCTTTGGTTTGATAGGTGCTGGCGTTCCTTCACAGCATTTTAACTCTCAACAACTTGACAGTGGAGATGACTCAGGACTTTATGCCTTATAAGCAGGAGCTGCAGCTCAGCTTGCAGAACGTGAGTGGTGTTGCTGAGGATTGTTGGGGGGATGTAATATCGTCTGACTTGAGCCCTTTCAGTTCTATTCTGTCTTTGTCTGCAGTCTAGAAACCACTATGAGAGCACTTGTGAGGAGTTGGAGGAGCTGATGAAGAGGATGAAGCATCCTTCTCAAATCTCAAAGATGCAGAACTTCCTGCCGTTGGAAGGTTATTTGTACTGTCAGGAGAAGCGTACGTACTAAAGATGAAGATTGCAGACGTATTGTAAATGCATTTGACTGAATTTGTGTGATAAACGTATAAAGAGTCACATCCAATCTAAATAGTCAGGGATAAAGGCATGGAAATGTTTGACTCAGGGTTAAGTTGTAAAACAATATCCCAAACTCTGAACATTTCCAGAAAGTTTATCAAGTCATCGTACAAAAATGAAAAGCATTTTATGTTACATTAACGGGGCAGTATTGTGTAAAACTGACTTTATATAGCTTTAAATCATGTTATAATGTTATTCCCTCATCAAAAACATACCTGGAGTGTTGCTTTGACTTTTTTCATGCATGTTTAAGAAATCCTTTAATCTCCCGTGGCAACCATTCAGCGGTGCAAAACGCCTGGAGGGACAGAGCGCCCCTTGCAGACTCCTCTGCAGCTCCTCCTCAGAGCAGCAGCTTCCAAGCTTCTGAGCTCCTCATTACAGAGCAGCCCTCCTCCGAGACTCCCTCACTCTGCTCCTTCAGACTAGCCAGCAGCAATTAGCACCTGGTGGAACTGTGCATCTGCTGAGCTCATTACACAAACTACTTCTCAGTTGGTAAAAATGTTGTTAAGGGGTTAATAGTGGAGCAGTGTTGTTGAGGATTTCCTGAAGGTGGAGGGTGAGAAAGAGCAGCCTTAGTTTCTTAAAGAGACAGAGGCCCCAATTTCAAGACTTTGGATTACAAAGTCAATTTTCTTTTAAGTTGTGTTTGATATATACAGAAGTTTTATAACAACTGAAGGTAACGCAGTTGCTTGATTGTGCTATGAAATTATACTATGAGGCTGGAAAACACATAATACTGCTCCTTTAAATCTACCCAAACCTGACTTTTAACCTAAACAGACCAAGATGGAGCATTTCTGTCTGCAGGAGGCATGTTCCAAAAAACTTGTAACTGTAACTGTAGTAAAACATAGTTGTGCAAAATATTTATTCAGGGGAAATGGGGAAGAGAATATTTGTTGCTAACTTTAAATGTGTTGCTGTTCTTTTGCTGTTAATGTGATAATCTATTAAAGAGACAGTTTGTAATTGTAACACGACAAAATGTGAAATCATATATTTTCGAGTTATTTTGTCTCCAAGTCTCAACAGACCTTTTTGTGTCTTTTTTTTGTTGTTGTTGTTTTGGTCACACCAGGGGCTTTGGGTGCATCGTGGGTCAAATATTTTTGCAAATATCACAAGGATGGGAGAATGCTGATCATGGTGTCCTGTGAACAGAAGCCTGCAACAAAGCAGGTACTATTACCACCAATAACCAGAACGTGGGGCCTTTGTCGCCACTTACATTCTTTAAACAACTTACCCTACCGTTGTTGACTCCCATCGTCGACCACTTCTCCAACTTTATCTCTTTTTTTATTCTTTTATTTTCCATGCAGGCCCCAACGATACTTACCCTGAAATCCTGCATCCGCCGCAAGACCGACTCCATAGACAAGCGCTTCTGCTTTGACGTGGAAACCGTGGAGAGGTTAGCGCAAACACAACCTGACGAGGCAACGCGAGAGCCTTGTGGGATAAACAGGTTGAGGCGGCGAGGTGAACAGGTGGCTTACAAGGACAGAGTGTGAAGGCTAAATGGACCGTAGCCCAAACAATCCCTGAGCAATGAGCTGGCGCTGGAAACAGATGGCAAACTGTCTGATTGCAGGGGGAAGGAACACAACAAGCTCATATTTATATAAAAGCACACCATTTGGAACAAAATGCATTTTAATAACTGCTTGAACTACGAGCTTCTCTGTCACCTTGCTGGCCTTTCTGGTCTTGAAATGGATGGAAACACTCGAATGTCGTCTGTGCTGTTTAGAGGGGTTTTATTGAGCTTGAATTCTGCATTGAGAGTGACTCTGAGTCGAACATATCTGGTAGTTTGGCTGTTTGGTAAACTCAAGGTGGCAGTGCTGTGTAATGAAATGCTCCTGGAGTTAAAGCAGACATTCAGCTTAATAGAAATGGATACAATAAAATACATATTTAACGCAGATTAGTTGTTTTAGCGACTTTGATACCTAACATTTCCCATGTATAAAAGATTTGACATTTATTTCACTCTGAAAGTTGATTGCGACTTAAATTTATTCATAGGGTTTTGCCAGAGGAAGCTTTCATCTCGTTGCACAGTTGTCTTTGTTAACAATTGATTCACATCCCCATGAGCTGCAAAATCTGGCACTCGGCGGCGTTTTCTGCACGACGACAATTGCAGCAATGTGTTTTTATTTTTTATTTTTTATTATTACTTTATGCTTACTTACTTTTATCTCGTTTAGCTTCCAGGATGTTGTCAGATACATCAAAGACGCTCCCTCCCGGGGTGTTCTTATCGTTTTTTTTCCTTTTTCCATCTACTCCACTTGGCTTTAAAGATATGAGTCTGATGTGTGAATTTAATCAAACTGGCTACTGTTGAAGAGTGCGTCGTTTCAGCTGAATAATTAAACTGCAACCTTTGCCTTCCTAATGGCTCTTGTTACCGTTTCCACAGAAACGCACCCGTCACTTTCCAGGCCCTTTCGGAGGGGGACAGGAAGTTGTGGATGGAGGCCATGGATGGGAAAGAGCCTGTGAGTTTGTGTTGCTCATTTAGAAATGGTCTTCTTTGACTTTGATAAAAAAAAAAATGCTTTGCTTGGCAATGATTTTTAAAGTTAAATTTGTTATAACTTTTTCTCAGCTCTACACATTCTCACAAGAATGCACACAGGTTCAAATACAAACCCTGATTAATATTTGACTTGATGTTAATTGGACCACATGCTTTTAAAAGCAAACGGATCATGATTACCCCCTTTTTTATCATTCTTTTCACTCTTTCCCCCTTTCGAAATTTCCCCACCGCTTTATATACACTATAAATATACAGTTGTGGTCTTTGAAGGTAATGAAAGTCCATTCAACAGACCGTTTGTTGTTGGTATGCAGAAGTTGCATGCATTGAACATAAAATATAAAATCCTGCTAAATATTGTGTCCAGATAGATCTTTGAAATTGTGATGACAATTGTGATTTAATGCATTTGCTCAACTTTACTTCCTTTGAAGTCAGATAGCTTAATATTTGTCGGTTCTGACCAGACAACTTTGTCCCAGGAGGCGATGGGCCTGTCCATGCGGGCAGATGTAAAGATCAGTTGAGCATTAAAGTTGTTGATTTTGAAGCAGGAATTTATTGTTAGCTGGCTTGAGCATTTGTGGCTCCTAAGTTGATCCTAAACATCCCAACTAATTGCCTTTTTTCTTAAGATTACAGTTTGGCTCAGATGATTGAAACTTGGATATAATGTGGTGTGTTCCAGTATGAAAATGTTCCCAAACAAACATAAAAAATGGTTTCGAAATCGTTATTTTAGGTTTTTGTAATAGTCTTTCCAAAACCCCGAAATCAACCCTACTAAGAATTTATGCACCACTTTTAAAAGCCAAGTCTGCCCTGGGAAACAAACCAGTTTCAGTGAACTCTGCTAATTCTAAAAGCACATGTTTGAGGCGAAAATCTCAAAGGGACATCAAATTAAATATTAATGGAGTTGCGTGTTTTTATTTTTACCTGTATGGATAATTTTGAACATGTGTTAACAGAAAATCCACAATGTAAGCAAACATTTTTTTTCTTCCCCAAATTCTTGTTTTTCAATCCACTGATGTTGATTTGTTGTGTGCTTTTATATCCATAGAACAACTTGATCCATAAAAGCCCAACAACAATGTGACATCATTCAGTTTGGAGGTAGCATATCTGCAACCAAAACTCAATTTTGAAAAAGCTTTTTGCACCACTGATTATTTTTGAGGATGTTTAAAATGCATCTAATTAAATGTAGTTTGCAAAAAAACAAAAACAAAAAAAACTGGAGCTGAGAAACAACCAGCTGAGAAAAATCCTGTTTAAATGATGTTCAATTATTTGTGTAGGTGTAAAACAGCATGACGACTGGCAGCTTAACATTAACTGGCATTTAACTGCTTAACTGGCATTTATGAGGCACCGGGTTCTGTACAAGATACATCTGAGGTAACATGATGCTTTCAGCGCACAACAAGGTATTTGTGTGCAGGTTGGTTGGCTGCAGCCTCAAATGACTTTAAACCAAATAGGGTTTGGTGTTGATGGAGCAAATTCTGCAGAAAATACATCTGTTCTGCATCTTGGGGAAAGGAAAAAAAGATCCTACTCACTACAGAGGATTTTCTTTCGTTTTGCGCCTCTTGATGAATGTCGCATCTTAACCAATTCAGTCTATTATTTGCTTGTGGTTGACAAAGACAAATAAAGGATGTGAAAATGACACGTGGCACACATTTTAGTGCCCTTTTGCTGCGCCACTTCCCCATCAGAGTCATCATATTTTTTTAAAGCCTACTCTTGCAGTTTACACTGACGGGTAAATTCCCTGCACGCCAAAGCCGACTTTGTTCATTAAGCACTTTTAAAAACATCAAACACAAAACATGAAAATGCAAAAGAAGAGAAACAAAAACATGAGCAAAACAGAATAAAATGCAACTAGTGGTTTCGGTAGAAATACGCAATGCATGAGTCATATAAAACAATAAAATCAAAATACCAATGACTTCTTATACCGGGTTAAAAGCTAAACTGAAGACATTGTTTTTCACTACAGATTTAAAAATGAAGAGGCTGTTAAAAATTTGTGAACTTCAAACAGCAAAAGCCCTGGTGCTTCAGCACTTTCCACCTAAGTTCAGCAAAATCTGCTCAGCTGGTCTGTGCGACCGAGAAAGGCAGTACGAGCGCGGTTGTCCAGATTGGTACTGAGGGGTAAGACCATTCAAATATTTCCCAACAAAAACTTTTTAAATGAAGTCTAAAGTAGACGGGCAGCCTGTGTAATGAAAATAAAACGGGAACTCCTCCGTGTTCCAGTCTAAATCTTTGCGGTAGCATTTTGTGCCCACTGAAGGAATGCCAAGGAAGGCAGCTTAACACCAACAAACAAATCATTCCAGTAATCCAGTCGAGTTGTAATTAAAGCATGGCTTTCTCTTTCAAAGTCATGTTTTGACATCGGTTTTATTTTGGCCAGGTGCCTCAGCTGAACGAGATGGATCACACCCCTGCACTTTTCTGACCACTCAGCTTGAAATCGCTGTCCATTTTAAAACCTAAATTAGACAGTTGGTGTTTTATAGTGTACCACAGTGCCCATGTTCACTGGGAAAGACCAAAAGTCAACATCGAGAAGTCATCCATTTGTTTCAGGAGCGCATAAATCTTGGTATCTTTTGTAAAGCAATGAGAAGTAATGTTATGCTTTCTAAGATCAGCTAAGAAAAAAAAAAGTAGAAGTCCAAGAATTGAACCCTGTGGGGCTCCACATGATAGTGGAATGGAGGATGCTCTAAAATGATTTAGGTTAGCATAAAAAGACAGCCCAGAGCTAAAAATTAGCTCTCATTTAGGTTACAAATATCTCCACGGTGTCGTAAACACAATATTCAGATATTGTGATCTGCTATCTTGAAAGAGGCGCTGAATCTTGGAGAATCAGGACCACATGGTCCCCTGAAAATGTATCCAGAAGGATTTCATTTAAGATGCTGAACAAAGCAAAGACTGAGCTGCAAAGTGATTTAAAACCTGACTGAAAGCTCCCAGAACTTCATTTTCTTTTAAAATGCTTTCGCAGTTGGACGTAAACAATGGTCTCCAGAATTGCGTCTTTCACATTACAATGTCCTGAATGAGAGTCGAGATACAGTGGGGCAAAAAAAATGTATTTATTCAGCCACTGATTGGGGAAGTTCTCCTGCTTAGAAAGATGAGAGGTCAGTAATTTTCATCATAGGTACACTTTAATAATAAGAGACAAAATGGGACATAAAAAATTCCAGGAAATCACATATTAGGATTTTTAAAGAATTTCTTTGTAAATTATGGTGGAAGATAAGTATTGGGTCACCCACAAACAAGCACACATCTGTGATTTCTTCTTTAAGAAGCTCTTCCATCCTCCACCCATTATCTGTATAAAAGACACCTGTCCACAACCTCATGCAGTCAGACTCCAAACTGAGCCAAGACCAAAGAGCCACCAGGAAGAAAACTGCAGATTTGCACCAGGCTGGGAAGAATGACTCTACAGTAAGCAAGCAGGTTGATGTGAATGAGCGATGAACGGGGCAGTGCATCGTGAAATTTCAAGCCAAAACCTCCTCCCATCAGTGAGAGCATTGAAGGTGGAACAGGCTTTGTCTTCCGGCATGACAATGATCCCCAAACGCACTAGTCGGACAACAGCGGAGTGGCTCCGTTAAAAAGCACTTCAAGGTCCTGAAGTGGATTACCCAGCTTCTAGACCTCAACCCCATAGAAAATGTTTGTAAGGAGTTGAAAGTTTGCCATCAACAGGCCCAAAGCAGTGATGCCCTACAGGAGAGCTGCAAGGTGGAATGGGCCAAAATACAATCAGGAAATGTTTGACCATTGCCAACAAAGGTTATGTTGCAAAGTATTGTTGAGCGTTTGTTATTGACCAAGTACTTATTTTCCACCATAATGTACAAATAAATTCTTTAAAAATGCTACAATGTTTTCTTTGATTTCCGTTTTATAATTTTTATTCTTTTAATTTTTGGCTCTCATAGTTGAAGTGAACCTGTAGTGAAAATTACTGACCTCTCGTTAAGAAGGTGAACTTGCACAATCAGTGTCTGACTGGATACTTTTTTGTCCCACTGTGAGGAATCTAGAAGCACAGCTGTGGTAGTAAATGTTCATCTAAAGACAGATTTCAGTATTTTAACACTCTATGGATTGGCATTTTTATTTAATATCTGAAACTGCAGATTCTTTAACGGAGGTCATTTTTAAAGAAACTAAAATACATTTCTTTATAAAGTATCAAGTTTTATATATTTTTTTCAGTACTTTACACTGCTTTTTATTGGGATTTACATGAGAGATCAACACAAAGTAACACACTTGTGAGCTGGAAGAATATGTTGTGGTTTTCAAAAATTTTCGTGGATAAAAATCTGAAAAGTGTGGCATTAGTTTGTTTTCTGTCCTACTTCAGAAATACACTAATAAGCAAACAGACACTTGAGTGTAATTTAATCTTAATGTATATATCAGGATTAATACATTAAAGTTTTTACTGGTCTACACACTAACAATTTAAGCGAATAAAGTGACAAGTCACAGATAAAGGATAAAATATTTTTGGACACTTTAATTAGGATGAAACAACTGAAGTGCAAAATATTTTTATTTTCATTGTATTTTTTTATGTTTTGCTTTTTTAAGACTTTATAGTTGGTGCTTAGATATTAATAATGACTTCCAATGGTACAACTTTTTCTGTAAATTTTAAACATTTTTTTAACTTGGTAACATGAAGGGCTGCTGGATGATCGCCCTACGATCTCTACCATTAAGTTTAGCAAGTTTTCAGGGAAAAGCCCGGTACATTTAATGTAAAAACCAGAATTTTCCTCTAACCTCACAGTTTTGTGGTACTTTTTCATTTTTGCTCAATCGCATAAATCCCAAACAAATTCTTTGAAGTTTGTCGGAACGTAACACAACGTGAAAAAGTTCATTACTAAAATTTTTTGCAGGATGCATCAAGGCATATATGTACATGATATCTGATTTTTATTTAATAAAAAAAACATGCATCAGTGTTCCTGCTTGTTAATGCATTCATAGATTTGGAATTCATTTAATGATCTGGATTTTCCTTTTTTTTTTCCTGTTTTTTCAGAAACATGCAAAAACTGAACATATCACTTTTCTCTTTGGCTAATTTCTGTTGTTCNACTCTCCAAAAACGAGTCTAATAATGAATGCGTGTAGCTGCAGATAACTTGATGCCTCCTATTTCCAGACGTCTCTGGTAGACCCAAACTGGCCCTCGTTTCTGTTCTGCTGTGAGTGTTAAAACAGCCATAAATCACAGTTGACCACTAGACTGATGCATTACAGTTTCGATGAATGTTTTGGCAACATTTTGCGCCTTTCACGGCCAAGACATTGACATGCCTGATCTCACATCCCAAAATAAAAAGTTATTCCCCATTAAAAAACTTTTTTTTAAGTGTTTGGCAGTCAAGGGGAAAGAAATCCCTGCATGTACTTCTCCAGAGTCTCTTAAGCGACTGGATATGTTGGCAATTTTCTTGTTTGGCACAGAAAGGAAATCAATCATTCAAAATGCTGGAAAATGGACTTTCGCTTTTAACTCTTAGTAATTATTCACTCTGGCATCCCCATTATTATTGTTTTTTTTTTTCTTCCCATATGTTAGATTTTAGTACTGATGCAGAATGTAACTCTGTGGGAATACCATAACACAGCATGCTGGAAGTCAGCAGCCTCTGAATCAATTGTCGGGTGTGACTACCATATATTTTCCCTCCAATGCTGCTTCGCGGTCATTGAACAAGACTCTCTCAGCATCTCCCGCTGCTCTGTACTTAGCCCTTAGCCTCATGGCTCTAATGGCTGTCAGAGCCACGAGGAGGAGGAGTAGCACGCTGTTTCAGGAAGAGAATCAGATTGAAGCATTGATATAAAGACCAGCACGTTTGATAAGGTCTGATCTCACGGTCAGAAGTTCTAAGTCTGACTTGCTGGCAGCTGTACCTGCAGTACCGGAGCCAAATTTACCCAAAGATTGAATGCATTGTTCTTTTTCTGCTCCTCGTTGTCGTTCTATGCTATAAAACCGTTAACTGAAACCAGAAAATGGCGCTCATCACCTCGTAATTCATCCCGAAGGTCTGTCGCTGTGCATAGGAAGCTGAATCCCATGGATTTGTTGCCTTGAACCATAAGTTTTTTTCTTTCTTTCTTTCTTTTTTCCTCCTCTTTCGCTTAAAAAATGGATGCAGTCATTAATCACAGTGGTGGATTTTTCCACATGCTCCACAGTCTTCAATTTCTTTTTACATTTGCTATTTTCATTTCAGATTTATCACTCCCCCATTCACAAGCAAGCAGAAAGTAAGTCAGTCATCACTATCCCCCCGAGCCTGAAGTTGTGATAAAATATTCAGTTTTTCTGTGGAAAGGTCTCATTTCTGTGGGGGGGTATTTTTCTTTTTTTGTTGTTGTTGTTGTTTGCTTTCCTGCAGTGGAACTAAATGAAACTGGATTCAAGTTTGTGCGAAAGTGCTTCAACTACATTGAAACTAAAGGTAAGTTTTTTACTGTCCGTGTTCTTGTTGGTTTCTTACTCGCCTGTTGGGGGCGTAGTTGAGTCGTCTGTTGGCATCACTCCTTGGGATTGCTGTGAAGGGGAGCTATCGCTCATCACAGCGCCGTTAAAAGGCTCATATGAAACCTGCTTCAGGTTGGAAAGCTCTTCCCTCGGCACATCCAGGCTTCCTACGCAGTCTGGAAAAGTCTCAAATTTTATTACAGAGTTTTCCGGATCTGGATCAGAATGAAAAAAGAAAATAATAGTGTATCAAAATACTTTACTCCCCGTCCCGCTGTCTAAATGTCCTTGATACCTTGTATCATTCCTTCTTTCTGTCTTTATTTCTCCTTCTTTCTTTCCTTTGTTGTGCCCTTCGTTATGCAGCCATTCAGTCTTTCCTTTCTGCCTCGGCTCTTCCTCATGCCCTTCTTTAGTTGGTTCTCTTTGGTCTGTCTCATGTTGTCCTTTCTTTGCCTTCTACCTTCACAATGTCCTTCCTCCATTTAGTCCTTGTATCCATTCTCCTTTTGTTTAGTCTGTCCTGTTTTTTTCTTTTCCTTCCTTCCTTGCTTCCTTTCTTCAATCCCTCCTTCTTCCCATCTTTTTCTTCTTCTTTCCTTACTTTCTTTCCTCGCTCCTTGTGAATTTGGCATGAATTCTCCAAACACATTTTGTGTTTTAAACTCTAGAGTCAGAACTTCAAATTAAGCAAAATTGAATCGCGGCGAAAGTCTCAAATGATTAAATGAAGAATGTGTTTCAACTTTGACCTTTGACGTTTCTCACTGTTTCTTTGGAGAGCGTCTTCAGTAGCGAACACAGAAACATTGAGCCATTTCTTTTTTAATTGCATCTTTGCAGCAGCGCCAAGGTTTGATTTAAGGAAACAGGATTACCTACAGTAAGGATGCAACTTGTCTATGAGTAGTTTCAGGCAGGAGTTAAATGCAGAAAAGAACATTTTCATTCTGTCTCATGTCAGGTATTAAAGAAAGCATGTGGTACATTTCCACTCTACATCATCTGCCCTGATTATACTCCCTTGATTTTTTAAATTATTTTTTTCCTGTATCCTCCCCTCTCCTCTGTCCAGCCGCCACACAAGAAGGAGTGTACAGGACAGTCGGCAGCAACATCCAAGTGCAGAAGCTCCTGAACTCCTTCTTTGGTAAGGACACAAGTCTGTGAACTTGAGCGCCATCTGCCCATTTGCTTTTTTAAGCACATTAACCTCCTCTAACACTTAAGAGGATCTGCAACATTTTCTGCCACGTGCATAGAAGGTCCAGGTAATTAGATGCCAGGTGTGTGGACCATGGACCTTATCACAGGGTCTGCGTTTCATTGGCTAATGCCCATTTGACGTCACAGCGCAGCTACCATGTGTTGACCGTCTCACAAACAAAAGCTAAAGTAGTAAACACATGCTAATGTAGATTGTGGACTAGCAGACCACGGTCTACACAATCAAAGTTTTTGCGACAGAACTCAAATAAGAATGGTTCTCCACTGTCAGTGGGGAATCTGTACAGCCGATGTCAGGCATCCTGATCGTATTTGTGGAAATAAAATTCACAGATTTCCCCAATCTGAAACGGAATGCCTTGCTTGGATCAAAGCTTGTGCACGACCGCATTTGCAGCTCAACCATCATAGGATCAATAAGAACAAAGGAGTGTGTGCTGGTGTAAGTATTATTACTTTGCTTTATTTATGTTTAGTGAATGGGGATATTTTGAGTGGCCTGCGACAGACTGGCGACCTGTCCAGGGTGACCCCGCCTCTCGCCTGCAACGTTAGCTAGAGATAGGCACCAGCAACCTTCCCGATCCCTTTTGAATTTTGAAGCTTGAAATATTGTAAGGTCTTAAGGAGGCCTATAATGTCTGAACAATGACACCCAAGTCTGAAAAAAAGTAAATAATAAACACATTCATTATGAAAACCTTTTAGCTAAGTACAGCATAATGGCAGTACCGATACAACTACACCATGAAGCCTGTCTATTTCAGTCTTACGTTAGCTGAACAGATCAATATGCAATGTGTACCGTATCAGACGTACATTAAAGATTTTATTTTACCTGAAAAGGCTTTTTACTAAACTGTAATCGTGTTAGCCACGCTAGCACCGAGTACAGTGTATCAGGCCTAGGCACACTCAAACATTTGCCAACAACAGAAATCACTGATTTCAAAAGTAACCCTCAAAACCATGAATGCCGACTTACCCAGCCTTGCAAGAACAATAGGCATCAGTGATCTTGTCCACAGTATATTTATGCTGAGGGTGTGAGGATCTGCTGTTTTCCTCATCTATCGGTAGCTTTTAGCTGTGACGCGCACAATGTTGGAGGCATCGCGTGGCTCAAACACCTTGATGTCACGCCTAAATGTTTTAGATTATTAATATTTGAATAGAGATAACTTGAGATTAGAAGCTGTTAAGTGATGCTTCATTTATTGCGGGAAAACAGAGCAGTGCCTCCTAAGCCTAGTAACCAATAATAACTAATTGACATCAAGAGTTTCCTATAACTGGGAATGAGTTTCTACCACTGCCACAGAGGACTCATGTTTGACATGTTTATGGTTATACTACAACATTTGAATTTGATTTAAGTCCAGACTTTGACTAGGCTACTCCAAAACATTTTTTTTTTATTTTTTTTGATAAGATCTTGTAGTAATTTTGGTTAACCGGTCTCTCCTGGGAAGGTTCACCACTGCTGCACGTTTTCTCCAGATGTTGATTATGGCTCTTGGTTTGGTTTGCTGGCAACCCAAAGTCTTGAGCTTTGTAACCATTTCCAGACTGACAGACATTAATCACTTTGTTTTTCTACTGTTTTTGGATGATTTGTTTCTTTTTGAGAACTTTCAGGCGTCAGAAAGGTTCTCCTACAATTATTTATTATATCTGCAGGTGAGGTGATAATCAAACTTGTGTTTCGCCTGTGAAGTTGAGCCAAGCTTTTTTAAAAAAAAAAAAAAGAAAGAAAAAATGTAGTTGAATCAAGGTTGATTCATGGTTTAAGAATGGGGGCAATTACTTTTCCCAGAGGGCCAGCTTGGTTTGGATAACTTTTTTTCCTTTAATGAATGAAATCATCATTTGAAACAACCTTTTGTATTTAAGTCAAGTTTTATTTTTATAGCACATTTCAACAACAAGGCAGTTCAAAGTGCTTTACACCATAACTACATAATTCAGTAACCAATTATGAAACAGCAATAAACTTTACATTTTGTCAAATGCCATCATCAAAACCTTCAAGGAAATATACATCAAAGACTCAAAAATCAATGTTCCAGTTGTTTTTAGCCTTGAGTTAAAGGAACTCAGTGTTTTGGCAGTTTCTCAGTTTTCTGTAAGTTTGTTCCAGATTAGTGGAGCACAGAAACTGGTTGTTTTCTTGTAGTATTACAATTCATTTCTGAGTAAATTTAGCAGCTGTTCATCCTGTGGTTTTAATTATTTTTATGGGACAGTTCTGAGATAAAGTTGGGAAGAACACTAAGACATGGTTGCGTTATAAAACAACATCTTTGAGCACTTTCCATTTTACCACTCAGAAACCTACTAAAGCTGGGCTCACGCTGCGCGATTATTGGTCGCCATACGCAACAAACCTTTCATTGTGAGAGAAAATTTCTGATGGTGACCTTGATCATTCAGTATGACAGACGCAATTTAGCGCTCCCCTGACAAAAGGCGAACTGTGACAGATCTGAAGCAGGGTCTATTATGTTATTGGCAAATAGTGCAATGTGACCTCTGCCTCAACCCAATTCTCATTGCAGTCCTCTTTTGTGCAGCCATGCCGCTCCCTTCTCTCATTTTTTCTGCTCTAATAGTAATAACACTAATATCCACAATTAGCAGACCATTTATTACTGGACTGAAGAAATGCTGATGAGAAAATTTGGCCATTTGACTCAGGTGAGTTGGCGAAATGGTGCACCTAAAAGATGTAGGATATTAGCTCTTGAGGACCGGAGTTGGTGGCCCCTGGTCTATGGAAACAAGTTGTGCAGTCTGGCATTTTCATGCGGTGTGACAGGGGTTATTGTCACATCGAGGTCACACAGTGGGAGATGTTTAAGTCCCATACGATTTTTTAAATCCCACGGTGTGAGCCGGGGCTTAACACAAAGGCCGGCGTCCACCAAAACTGACAAGCTGGATAATTAGAGCAACATTTAAAGAATGAGCCGGGAGCCACACGGTAACTCTGCAGGAGCTCCACATCACCCTAGACACATCATCCCCACCTTCAAACATGGCAGTGGCAGCAGCATGCTGTGGAGATCCTTTTTTTCCCCCCCTCAGCAGAAACGGGGATTATGGTCAAATTTGATGGAAGGATAAATGGAGCAAAAAGGTGGTTCTGAAAAGTGTTAACCTGAGTACAAGACAAATTAATTTCATGTGTAAATTTCTGAAAAAATATGCACGTTTTTTGCCTTTGTGCCCTACTTTGGGTTTTTCTGTCACATAGCATTTATAAAATACATTTGCTGTAGGTTTGTCAAGATAACCTGATGCAAAAGTTGAAAATGTCTTATAACAACTCCTGTCAGCTAAACAGTTCACAGCTCGATGATGTGGTATTAATGTTGGCATTTCAGTCCTTAAATTGAACTGGTGCAGCTTTGATTGATTGACATCTGTTCCTTATTTAAGCGTACGTAAACATCTTTTTACCCTCATTTAGTTTTAGTTTGAGCGAAAAACAACACTTGCGGTGGTAAGACGTTGCTAAATTACCAACTCAGCGACTGCTGCAGGCTGTCAGCTGAGCAAACACGCTACATTTGATACATTTCATGGCAAAGAGAGCGAAGCCTCAGAGATACAGTAGCAGAAAGCATGCGTGTCGCTTTGCCATGTGAATGAGCAGATTTCTCCGTCTCTTAACAAGCCATTCATCCTGGCTTGAATAAGTACCTGGTGATCAAGAGGTGTTGGATTCAAAGGAGCGTCAAATGATGCTATAAACACCCTCAATAATAAATCCTGGCTTACAGTTTTTTAAGTTATAATGAGGGAAATATAAAGAAAAACCTGGCTGATCTGAGTGTGCTTCACACAGAGCAGCTGCTGGATCAGCGCTCCTTTACTGGAGGGCAGAGGTCAAGAGGCTTCAAGCAGAGCAGCATTAATTTTTAAAGAATAATTACAGGATTTAAAAAAAAGAAAATATAGACTGTGACACATGGGTATTTGTAGGGTGGGATTCAGCTTTGTACGCTTTCACACAAAGTCCAAATAATGGGAATCACCCCTTCTGAAAAACAAGAAAAAAAAAATCCCAGGATTTACTCAGTTGAATTGTGCAGCTCATTATTTTGCATTTCCAACTCATATCCAGGATACTAAATAAATCTATTTTAGTTGATGGAAATTCTTTGCAGATTGAACAGGGGGACAAGAAGGGGGATTTTTTTTTTAAAAGCGCTTAAAGAAAAAAGAAAAGGGGATGAAATCATGTTTTTGGTTTGCAGTTACTTTGCAATAAATACCTAAGTGCGCAAGAGCAAGTGAGCAGTTAACAGAAATGCTTGCAGACCTCATAAGCTGTGTGGCACCTGGTTCATGGACCGGAAACATGACTCCAGTATGAGATCAGGTATCACTCATCTTTAAAACAAATAACACAGTTGGGTAACGTGGAATAATTCATGCCCCGTGGACCTCTACATGCGATGCCTGGCTAAAGTATTCATAACCCTTGAACTTGTTCACATGTTGTCCTCTTACAGCCACAGTGTTATTGTGATTTCATGTAACAAAAAAAGTTGAGGTTTTCAAATACTGTACTGGAAAAATATCTGGATTGTCTGGTGTTTAGCTCCTTTTACTGCATTCAGGAGTTTAACTCAGATTGTTGATGCACAAAGTTGGGAGAGACATACTTGGTGGGGGAGGGGGGGACAACAACCTGCAGCTATAATTGGAGAAAAATATTGTTCTACAAAATATTAAGCCTGTCGCAATATAAAATCAATTAATTGCATGATAAATTAAAACAAGCTGGATAATTTCCATCTGAATAATTGTTTTTCTCTTTTCTCTCTTTCTCTCTGTGTCTTTCTACCAAAGATTGGATGATAAAAAGCTTCAGTCTGGTGCTTTGGTCTCAACTAGGCCCTTTTTTAAATGACAATTTTGTTTACAGAGACTTGCAATTTATTTGTTGTTTTGGTTGTTGTGAATATTTAAAATAATTTTCATTCCCAGTGTTAAACATTCTGTAGAAATGATTCAAAGCAACAAAATTCTCATTTATTGCAATAATTTCTGGGACGATTTATCGTGACAGGCCTGAAAAGCATACAACAGGGGTGATGAATACAAATGCATGCTTCACTTTGTATATTTCTTTGTAAAAAAAAAAAATAAAACAACAAAAAACAAACAAACAAAAATGTATCGTTTACCTCCACTACAGCCTGGTAAAAACCAGCTCCTTGTACTACGCTTTGCTTCGTACAGAGAGTCTGGATCCTCTACTGTTGAGGAACAGTTGCCTGCTCGAGGCATGGACTGTGTTGAAGTTTTAAACGATTGGATCTGATGTTAATCGCTAATATTTGGCCGTGACGCATGTTATGAGCCAGCTCGACCTTGAAGGAAGCTACGCTATGAAGTTTAACGGAAATTATGTGGGCTGTAAGCAACCATCACCCTCTGCAAAGAGAGAAATGCCGAGCTGAACGAGGTGACTGTTCATGTTGCAGCATTCCTCTTGTTCCGACTTTTATTGCTCTACATTTGGAACCGTGGCCAACGCAGACTGACTGGTTTGTTCACTTCCTCCGCTGCCATTGGCAAATTACAATCACAGGCAGACAACAATTCATAAATACTGCAGAAACTTGACATCACCGTTCACAACTCCTCTTTCTGTTCGCTGATTGGCCTGCTGGAAATGCATCCTGAGAAATTTAACTCAATGGGACAAATCCCAAACGGAGCGCTGAAGGGAGATGAGAATCAAGGGGGTTAGATGACATCTAACCCCAATAAAAGTACATTAATGTTGGTGCGTGCAACATAACACGTGGAAGAAGTTCAAAGCTTTTGCAAGACTCGTGTTCATGGATAAATCCCCCAATCTGTGTTTGGACAAGAAGCTGATGCTGGAATTAGTTTCCTGCAGCGCCGGTGACGCGTATCGAGACTACCGTTTGACGACAACAAGAGCGTTTCCTCGGACGACGATATCGAGTCGAAAGGAACTGAGGAAATGACGGTCATTACCTCTACTATGATTTTGCAGGTGGATGGTGAAATATGGAAACTTTTCCAAGTCAGGAGATGATGGAGTCAATTGTCAAGATGATGACTCATCTTTACCTGTAATAGAAATCTTTGACTTCTCCTCATGGAAGATGTATCAGATTTATAGCATGGCCAACAAACTCATCCTGTGAAGCTGACCTTTATCTAGCTCTGCTGCTTGATGGATGATGAATACTTAGACATTTGGTGCCTCTAAGAGTTTATATAATCACAAAGGATATTGGAGGTGTACCAAAAACGACCTGTGTCTCTCTTACTTCATAATTTAATTGCCCTTGTACAACCCCCCCCAGGAGAAGGAAAAGAGCAACACATGCCACATGTTTCTAAACTTACCGCATGCCTTTTGCTCCTTTGTAGATCCCTCAAATCCTGCAAATGTGGATCTCAACAGCAGCGACTGGGATGACAAAACCATTACAAGTGCATTAAAGTTCTACCTGAGGTGCGTTCGTTTGTGCATGTGTGTTTATGGATACGTGCCGAAAAGAAAAAAACAAAACAAAATCCACGCAGTATGATTTTTCATTAATTACGTTACATTTGGTCACACGTTACGTCATTTCAAAATGTTTCCACAAGGAATTAGATGTTTTCCAGAAAACCGTTTTATCATCTGGCATTAGACACAACTTGCTGTTTCCAAACTAACCCCACCAGAGGGCTCACTCTTTAACTTCTTAATAGTGTGACTATTTAATGAGTGGATTCTTGTTTTATTCTTTCGGTGTTTGATGTTTTAATTTATGTTCCCCATGTGTTTTCTCATTTTGTCTTTCCTTTCCCACAGGAATCTTTCTGAACCTCTAATGACCTACGATCTGCACGGAGAACTCATGAGTGCTGCAAGTAAGACATGTTTGAGAGCTTTTACTTTGCTAAGCTCTGCATGGATGGGTTACAGCATGAACCCTAAAGTTGAGTTATGTTGCATATTACCAGTTGAGTCCAACCGTTTCTCTGAAAAATATTTGATCTAGCAGTTTATAGAAAGGGTGGAAACTTCGGATTTACGAGCTTGCTTTTTTTCCTCCCCTTTTTTTCTCTCTTTTTTTTTCTTTTTTCTTTTTGCTGCTTCTTTAGCGTGGCTTACACTGGCTGGAAAAAAACCCATCTAAACTCTGGGATTAAAAGAGCCATTTGTAAATCAATACAGTGCAGTGCTACGGGTTGAACATCTTTATCTATTTGGACACAGAAGGAAATCCGAGTCTTTATTTATACTCGTCTGTCACTGTGCATTATTGTAAACCTGAGAAGATGGTAGGTTTATTAACACCAGCCTCGTTCTGTCAGGATGTTGCATTAAAGTACATGGAAATGCCCTTCATTAGCCGCACACGGTTCTCCTCATTACGTATCGTGACAGTTTGAAGACTCCGTTTTATTGGCTGCATACCATTGCACTGGGTGGTCATGCTTCACTCCATTTAACTTTGCAATTAAGGGGAAACTTTGTGATTTACACGGCTTAGTTTTACAGCACGTTTTAGATGCACCATTTTCACCTAGATTTTTGCTCGGAATATTCATTTCTTTTTACTTGGACTGAAACGGTTAAAACTTTGCAGAGCTTCTCTCCTCCAGTTGATTTTCCTCTTATGTTGGAACTAAAGTCTTATCAGAATTATTGCCCACAGTATTGGTGGAAAAAAAAATAAAAAATGGCTGCCATCAGCAGTATGCTTGCCTGTGTTTTGGCCAGACATTCAGACTTTTAGGTTTGATATTTTTATGTCATTGTCATTTATTAAAACACAACTCAACACAGATGTCACCAAAGCACATGTTTAGACCAGATGTTAAACCAAAACAGTGCTAGGAGCTCCCTTAAAGTGTAAACCCCTACTTTATAGGTCTTTTTTGGGGTTTTTTCCCGATCACATCGTTGCATATCGGTTACATTGTTTAAGACAAGCCTTATATTCGCGTTTAAATGGCTGACCTTTTTAGAAATGTGTATTTTGTAACCACAAGTTCCTGTGCTTTAAATCCTAGCTCATGCAATCACTGTAGAATCATAAGTCAATAAGTCACTGCGCCGCACATGATTCCCGCTTTGACAGAAGATTACTGCCTGCACTGAAATGACAGAACAAAAAATATACAGATAGTTCAATGACATCCTATCAGCCGCAGTTCCTGCAGCACGCACAAAAATAGATGAAAATTTGCTGCCATTTCCAGTTCCAGCCACAAGTTTATACTTGCTGAGTGATCGTAGATATAAAAATTATATTAATTTTGGGCTTTTAATGATAAATTGCACCTTTGTTATTCAATGATGGAGTGATACGTTTGGGTATTTTTGAAAATAAGAATTGGGTGTTCAATTGCAAAATTAAATGGCAATCAATACTGCCGGCATGACGACTGTCACTCCTCTTCCCCCCCCCAATCATCCTGATGACCTCAGTGCTCTGCTCGAGCTTCAGTTGCCAAATACTCTACTGGCCTGCCTCTGCCTTATGCAAATGAAGTTTTGCACGCATTGGAATTGCGGTAATGTTAGACATTTTGAGAGTAATGCGGATTTTTGCTTGACAGGGTTCAGTTTATAATTTATATAATTGAGTACTTTTACACCGCACAGAAATTTGGTGGGGGTCTAAGTGTTTCTTAGTAAACCACGACCACACATTTTTTTGCAGTCCTCAACAAGCTTCTGGCATAGTTCTAGCGGGATGTTGAACCGCTCTTCTTGGCAGAGTTAGCAGAAAAAACATTTAAATTGGTGCTTACATTTTCAGTGAGATTCGGATCCAGGCCTTTCTAGGAGCTTAGCGTCGGCCTGTTTTATCCATTCCAAAACCAGTTTTGATGAACGTTTGAGTTCATTGTCCCGTTGGAACACCAACGCACCAAAGCATCTGAATCAAATTGGGACATTTTGGGTACGATGAAAGGAAATTGGTTAGAGCGTTCAGAAAAACCAAGGAAATCCACAAGGCTCCAACCCTACTGTGAACTGTAAACTGCTGGAACCAGTGTCACTGTCCACAGTTTTATACTGGCAATGACTCATAGCATGCTAACAAGAATGAAGCGCCTGCTATTTAATCAGCTTCCTACACGGAGCAGCCAGACGACTTATGGATAAAATCCTTATGGTCAGATGAAAGAGCAAAAATTAAGCTGCCTGGTCACAATTGACAAGAAGCATGCTTGGAGGAGTTATGGTCAGGCTATGGAGCCCAAACACTGTCAAACTGTCTCATAAGGTGGTGGAAGGAGTGTACTGTGGTGTTTGGGGGTGATACCAGTTTATTACCCAAATCTTTCAGCTTCACCTCAGATCTGTCCAGTTGACTCCAGCCGGATTACTGAAACCCTGAACACTGTATTAATTAGTATTAAGCTTTTAAATCTTGCTGAAAAGTTACTTACAAATTAGTTTTGTCTGATTTCATGTTTACTATGATATTTGTAGTATAAACTAGACCAAAAATACATGGGGATTTTGAATTTGTGTAGTGTGTGGTCAAATGTCCATCCAAAACTGTTTGATAACCTTGTTGAAGGTTAAACAAATGGATTAAGAGTTTGAATTTGATTTGTGTGGTTTTGAGAATCCATTAAAATTCAAATTTGTGCTTCATCTTCCTTGTTCTAAGTCATTGAAGTTTTATTATTCAAAATAATTTCATCCTGAAAAAAAAATGTTCAAATGGATCATTAAAAACCTCAAAACATTGTTTCTCATTAGCGTTGCAATTAGCCGTACAGGCACAAGAAGTATTAAGCTTCAGTATTTATTGTTTCTCTATTTTATTTATTTATTTATTTTTTATTTTTTATTTTTTCCAATCATCTAAAACGACTTTGCTCTGTGTACCACAGAGTCTGATAATCTGGACTTTCGACTGAGTGAAATTCATTCACTCATCTACAAACTACCGGAGAAGAATCGTGAAATGTTGGAGATGCTTATTAGGCACTTAGTAAAGTAAGTCCAAGCCGAGTTCATTGTGTCGTTTTTTTTTTTTTTTTTTTTTTTACCACTTCCAGGGAAATAAATCCTCTCTTTCTGAAGGGAGTTCATACTTTTTATTTTTGTCACCGCCTGGCTTGAGTTACATTTTATTTAACCAGCCTGGCATGATGTTGACAGCGTGTGCAGCCACAGTGATGAAAACCTGATGACGCCCTCCAACATGGCAGTTATCTTCGGCCCCACACTCATGAGAGCGAAGGAGGAGACGGTGGCGGCCATGCTTGATATCAAGTTCCAAAACATTGTGGTTGAGATTATGATCGAGGACTACAAAAAGGTACAAGTGAAGCAAGCATGTCCTCTTTTTTTTTTTTTTTTTTTTTTTTTTTTTTTAACCAACAGGGACTGTTAGGGGTTTTTATTCTTAATTCATACCACTTCCATATGTCTGTGTTTGTAATGTCTTGTTAGTGGATTAGAGCTGTTATTACATGTGGTTTGTTTTCGGTTAATGAGGACCCGTTGGAAGCCTTGTTGCTGTCCAAGCAGTTGCCAGCACTGAAAACAACAACAAAAAAAACAGTCAAGTTGAGTTTGTGAACTGTAATTATTAATGAAATGTACCAGAATTTATGTGTTTTAAATGTATTATTTTGCTGTAGTTTAGGCACTTTTGTTAGATTTTTTTTTTTATTATTGTCATTATTTGTACTTGTAAATGTCTACAAAACTGTGCAGGGCCTTGCAAAAGTACTCATCCCCCTAGAACTTTCCTACTGTTTTAGTGATGGTCTGAGTTCAACACAAAGTGGTGAATAATTATAAAAAGTAAAAACTTCCTACAAACTAGTCTAAAATGTATTCAGCTCCCAAAATCTGACGCTTTCGGAGGAAATCTGTTGCACAACGGCATGTGGAGTTAAAATCCCTGCCGCCTTTTTCCTGGAAGTTTGAGGTTGTAACATGATAAAATGGGGGGGGGGGGGAAAAATCAAGATTTATGAAAAATAACCAGAAGACTCTGTAAAATCTACTAAAGAGTACTTATTTGGTTGCTGTTTTTCAGCTCTTTGTGCTCCAGCCCTTTACCTCAGTTACCAGCTGGAAGAAGCTGAAAAAGCAGCCAATGAACCAAAGTGCTACTGTAACTTTTTATGTGATTCCAGATCTTCACTTGCATGCCAGAGGACGGCGCCTTCCCACCTGTCCCTCCTCCTCGGATCACGGCAAGAAAGCGGCAGCCAATCACCATCTCCAAGCGGCCTGCTCGCGTTTTCCAGCCTCTTAGTCACGAGCACGTCCGCGACGCAGAGAGTAATTATCAGCCGACCTAATTGTGGTCACCCTCCTCCTTATCCCATCCTCCCTGTTGCTCAGCGTACAATTTTGTCTTTGTTTTTTATTTTTTTGTCTGTAGAGACCACAGTGAGGTCACTTCTTGACATTTTACAAATGGGATTTATTGAAGTGTGCTTGTTTGTCCCAGTAATTATCACGAATTGCAAAAACATGGAAGCAGTTTGCCAATTGAAATTCATTTTTTTCCCCCTGTTTTTAATATTAATAGAAAACCATGTGACTTTTTTTAATAGCTCATTTGACATACAAATAAAAGCATCCACTGTTTTTTTTTTAATAATCCTTCCACAGTCTAACCCTTCTAACATGTCAGAGTAAAATCAGGCAATTTTCTCTCTTTTTTTAACCACTTTTGTTGGTTCAAACAGTAAAAAAATGTTAGTTGTGACTCCCTGCTCTCACTGTGGCCCAGAAATGTGGCTCAATTTTGTTGGGATCTTTAACTTTTTCCCTAACTTGCTGCTTTTGCAGAGTTTACAGGTTATGCACATGTGCAATTCATTTTACTGCAGTAAAGTTCTGCACTGCTTGTTTACATTAACTTTGCACCCACTGTACGATCCCAAGGTAATTTCTGGATTCTACTTTTCATAAGGTGCATGTCACAGCAGTAAATATTCACATTTAATGGTGGTTTAAGGTTACAGTGCAGTTAAAGCTGGGTTTCTGTTTTCTTTTTTCTTTTTTTTTTTCTGCAACAGATGGGCAGAAAGACACCTCTGTGGTGGATGGGGATGTCTCAGCGAGCCCCAAACCCATAAAGCCGACGAAACCCATGAGCTGTGCCCCACTCCCTCCAAGAGAACCTCCTTCGAGGCAAGCGGGGATCTACAGACCGGCCAGCCGCCAGGACCGGCCGCCCGACTCCGACGCTGAGAAGCTGAGCGACATGAGGCAGAAGCCTGACTCTTCCCCGGCAGCAAACGGGGATTCTGGGGTCTTGGTGAGTCGGGTGCCGTCGTTTCAACGTCAGAAAGCGTCTCCGAAGGGAACGCCAGCCAACCGAGAAGGTAAGAATCCGCGTTTTATTAATTTATGTCAGCATTTTAAGCCTGTAAAATAAAATAGATGATAATGTCAGGATGGATTGTTATATAGTCTAAATGTTTTTCTTAAAGAGTACACAGTGTTGTTGGTTGTAACGGTGACGCGTTCCCATAATTTTATCTCGGAAGATTAACTGTGCACACAACATAATATGTTGAATTTAAATACAAATTCACACTTTAGGAGATGTAGCTTTAAAAAGAATTTGTCATTACTAGAAGACAACGGGCCGAATTTTTACAATTAAATCCAACGTTATTCATAATTTAATTATATTTTAATGCTACAAACATGTTTTTTGTATCTTGAAGTATGAGCTAAAGATTAAGGTGATGGCAAGGAAGGCATGGGGGTAGGAGTAATTCTGGGCTTCTCTGTAAATGTTCAACCACCAGCCTCTGAGCTGCTGCTGCTGCTGCTGGTCCGGCAGCTTGAAGAGCTTTTTCTTTTCTGGGAAGGCGAAGTAGGTTTTCCTCAAGAATCTCCGGGCTGGTCTTGCCAAGTCCCGCTGTTGTAAATCAAGCTCCGCAGCGTGATGCCGCTACCAACACGTCTGCTTGTGGGGACCGTTTTCATGGGGTCACGAGGTGTCGGGTTGCACCACAAGCGGCAATTTCTTTTGATTATCACAAAGTTAAAATTTAGTCTACTCCACATGTTTGGAGATCTTTCAAGAAGGTTTCTTGTTTAGTTTTTTCCTTTTCTGTTGTTGCTTTTTTTTTTTTTTTATTCCGGCAACTTTTTTTTTTAGCCCAGCATTGTCAACTATGCATATGCAGTAAATGCCTCCTCCAGTTTTTTTGGCTTATAAGTCAAGGCGACCTTGAAAGCAGTGATTTTAAAAAGACTGATGTATTGATCTAATGCTGGCAAAGCATTCAATCTAATTAAAAATCTAATGTCTTGCTCAAAATTAGTTAGACCTCTGGCAGGTACAGATTTAACGTTTTTATTCAGCCTCGCAGTTTGTGTTTCATAAGAGATGAGGGGAGTCTCTTAGACGATATTAAAAATAGCAAAAGGAGTATCAATTAAAAAAAATCTATTTACAATTTATTAATAAAGACACAACTTGTGAACATGTTATTTACAGATGTATTTATCTGCAATAATTCTGGTCTCTTGGGTTTTAAAAGGTAGTTCAGATGCGTGCTTCCTTCTCATCTAGTTAGTGAGTGGACCTCCCAAAATCTGCAAAGTGCGTAGAAGCTGGCTGGTGCACAAGCTACCCTGCCCTCTTAGCATTTTTTGGCCATGACTTTTTATTTAATCTCCACCTCTCTTTAATCACGTAGCAAAATTTGTCATCCCAGTCGGGCAACACAAACAGCTCAGACGTGGCTGCTGTACATACTGAACAATTTGCTTGTGTGTTTTCTTTTTTTTTTATTTCTTTTTTTTATGCTTATTTATGTTTTTTTGTTTGTTCTTGTTTCGTCTCTTAGGACATTTTGATGGTGTAACCAAAACAAAGTCTGCAGAGAAACATGCCATTTGTCGACCCCCCATCAGGCCCCCTGAGCCCCCATCCAGATGTCCCGCTCCACAAAAGCTCCCAGTTGCAGCCAGCTGTGAGGGCACGCCCACATCTTAGTGAGTACACCAAAGTCTCTACCCTCATGCTTTCTGGGTAATTAAACACAAGGCTCTGAGCAAAGTGTCTAAACCTGTTCAACTCTTAAGATTTAAATTATATGGCGACATTAAAGCCCCTTTTGGACTGCAGGACCGAGCCTGGCTCGGCCTGGCCTGTGTTCAAGGCCCGGGTCCGGCGTTCTTGCGTTAGCACTTAGAGCTAGCTAGCCGAGAGCTGTGGTTCCATTCGGACCAGCCAGACGGGGCTGGTATGCAGTCAGACGTTAATTGGTTCGTTTGCCACGGAGGCGGGCACAGAGAAGAGTCATCTTTCAGATCGGATGTTGTGTTAGACTTTCTCGATGTCGGCGTCAAAATAAATCCCGCCGTCGTCTATTTTTAACCGCCTGTTTTTCAATGATAATTATGACGTATTCAATTGCATTAAATTTTTATTTAGTTTAGTTAATATCCAACAAGCTGAAGGGAGGATCCTCATGGTGCCATCACACCACAAGCACATAAGTACATGTAACTTTTTATCTGTTGTGAAAACAACAGACTATTTATCCTATAAATTACTTACAAACAGTGAAATTAAATAATTGATCTTAAGCGATAAGCTATTAATCTGCGGTAGCCTGAATGTTTTGAATTTCACCGCTTCCTGGTCTGCGTGAACCTGAATTTCCCATCGGTGTCCATAAAAAATATCTCAGTTTTGATGTCGATCTGGAGGATGAATCTGCGCTACACTGGAAACTGGAGACTTCAGCCAAACTTTTGAAATCGGGGAACATTTCTCTAATTGAAGTGATCAGAAGTCGGCAAGGCTCTCTGCACGAGGGGATTTCCTCACCTCGCTTTGGTCCAGCGGGGGAATTCCCGAAGGCGCAGCGGTAGTTCAGCTGCACGAAACGTGGGTCCAGCTCAGAGATGACACTAAGATGAGGAATTTTTTTTAATGATTTAGTTAAAGGTAAAAAGCTGAGGTAATTCTTTTCCCCAGTGCCGCCTAGCACATACAGAAGAGGCTAGATGGGACAACGAGGAACGTAAAAGTTTTCCACAGTCTCTGGGAAGGCGGCCTCGGATCCCCGCACACTTTGCAAATGGAGTACATTAGGGCCGGGCCAGTGGCTGCCAGGTCGGGCCGTTCGGTGCAAAAAAAATCCTATAGTGATCTTGGGAACATGACAGTTGCAGTTTTGAAGAGTCAGCACATTTCAAACCCTTTTATTTGATCTAAACTTTCACGAAACACACCACTGTTACAATCTTTAACTTGAGTGCAATCCACATGTAGACAAAGAATAATAGTTTTTTATTTTCCAAAATCATCAAGGATTTATAAGTTTTATTATTTACATTTTTACTTTTGCAAATGGTTTAGATTTTCTTGGGAATTTTTATTGCATTTTATGACTAAGGTGTGAGTAAATGAAATTTTCCAAAAAATCAGGAAATGGCTTCAGGATAATTTCCAATCTCAAATAAATACAAGCTTAGAGCAACTGGAAGTGTGTGTTTTTTTTTTTTTTTTGACAACAGGTTGGTCTGAAAAAAAAAAAAAAATGAATGTTGAAGCTTTTTGCCCACTGTTGGGCATGGGGGAGGCCTTGTACTGGAACCATGACGAAGTCCAAGGACATGTGAACAATTTTTAAAATCACATCATTTGCTAGAAAATGTAAAAAAAAAATTGTTACCCTTGGGTCTTTTAATGGGATATTGATCCAAGACTTTGGGCCAAATCAATACAGAAATGGTTCACCAGACACAGAATCAACATATGACACAAATATTGATATTTAGTTGCTTAGAAGTACAGTATTTATTGACGTGGGATTTGTTTTTCCCCTGAATAAATGTAGTTTAATTAAAAGTTGGAAGTTTTGCTCAATTTTCAATTTTAGATTATGTCATTAATTCTTTTACATTTAGAAGGAGTCCTACATGGACATGGCGGCACCATAAGTGCACAGTAGATGGTGACACTGTTAACTATCCAATCTAAACAGCCCATTCTGTCGTGTTTTATCTTCTGGAAATATGATTTAATGACAGGATGATTTCAACGTACGTGGCTTCACATAATACCTACACTTCCAGCTTTTTACCCTGCACTCTTCGTAGATCTCTCCTAGGAATTTAACATGCCACTTACCTTTTGTTTTTCAGTGTTGCATCAAAGACCAAGTTTTTTGAGAATGCCTCCAGACAAGTTGTCAGGTTTGTAAAGCCTTTCATTGTTTCTTATCCACTTAGTCCATTTGTTTAGCTCACTTGACTAATCAGATGCAGGTTTTTCTACAATAAATGTCAGTTTAACAGCATGAAAGTGTGACAAGGATTTTAATTCCTATTATATGCATCAGCACTAAGATTTTAAGTCATTTAACTAAGTGAATAAATGCTAACTGCCCCATATTATTAAGATTTTCCATGCTGTGGCTTGTTTTTTAGAACATTAAATCTGTCTTCATTCTGGACTTATTTAGATGCCCAGACTCCCACGTGATAGGAGTGTGTATGTTGGTTTTATATCCCAATGGGAAATTAAAACTGAATGCACACCAGCCTCTGGAGACCTCCTCTAACTGCAGGGACCAAATCGAGTTCTCTGTAGGTCCAGATTGCCCATTGCAAGTTAGGACTTTGCTTCTCAGGGAAAGTATAAAATTTCCCTTAAGCTGTGTTAAGCAGTGTTTCCGCTGAGTTAATGACTTAGGCCTGGCGTGCGTGTCAAACGGCGTAAAACTTTAGGTAGTTTTATGTGCATTGTAAGTGTTCCCTTACACATGGGCCCTTTGATTTTTTTTTTTTTTTTCACTCATGCAAGATCCTTTAGCTCATGATGTAGTGGAGTCTGTGTGATGTGGAAATGGACACATCTGCTCTTTTATGATTTGCATGGCTGAGCCAATTCAAGGCCCCTGCTCTCTGCCCAGTGCAGGCAACGATGCACGATGTAAACGAAGAATGTGGGAGTTTTATCAAAGAGAGTTTATGTCTTTGGTGTTCTTTTATTGGTATCCCCCTTCATTATGTTGTCTTGAGTTTAGGCGATCCTTTCCAAAAAATAGAAGCCCAGGCTGGAGTAAGTTTTGTTTTGGCTTTTGAACAACAGAATATCAGCTTGCGACTTCAGTAACCGTTCTCCCCAACCTGAATAAAATCTGTTCTGCTCAAACTGTACATTCTGAATGCATCTCAAACATTTCGTTTCTGTTTCTTTCAATTTAGCCCTCCAACCTCTTCGCTATCCTCAGTCGTGACAAATGTGAAAAAAGAGGTAAGTGTTGAGTAAATGTTCAGATATTTGCAGTTGTGTAACATCTGCGGAGTAGGGTTAGGTGTATGATGATCTCAAAGTTAGGCGGGGCTGGTTTTGAACTTTTAATTTAGGTAAAACAACTTCTTGTTTTATTCACACTGATTTCACTGCTAAGGTTGTCCTGTGCGTTTCATTTCTGTTGCTGATTAAGGATTCGGTTGAGGCCTTTTTAAATAATCAGTATTGGAGTTGATTAAATTTGCCCCCCAGTGGCTGTTGGTGTGCTTTTAGTACTTCACGTCAGCTGCACATGTCGTGACAACTAGCATACGGGTTAGTCATGTTTTGCTGATTTTTTTTATTCTTTTTTTTTAATGATGACCTAATGATACAGTGTTTTTCCGATCGTAATATTTTTCACCTGTTGCTATGATATACAGAGTGAACAAGGGAACGTACTGAGTGCTGCTGCTGCTGCTGATAAAGTAACTTTTCTTAACTTCACCCTGTGGTGAAGCAGCATATTGAGGCTAACCTGCCAAAACTCCATCTGTCACCCATTATTTAGTAAACCTCTTTAAACCATCTGCTTCTCCTGACCACCTATATGCCTTTACTATGTGAAGTTTCAGTGTATTTTCTTGAGCAGTGCTGTATGTTGCTAAGATTATATTCTTGAAGAATCTCAGCTGTAATATTTATTTAAGTGATGCGAATTATTACCTCAACGTGGGAGTCTCAATTTACCTGGGGAATGCTACATAGTTTACAAACAGTAACACTGTCATAGCTTAGCTTAGCATTTCTCAGCGTATTTTAGCATCACTTAGCTAGTTTTAGCATTGCTTACGTCACACTAGCGTAAGATAGCTTACCCTAGCAAAGTGCAGGCCTTGCTTGCAGCATAGCTTTTAATACAGTAGTTTATCTTAACATGGTTTAGCTTAACATTGTTTATCTTATTTTAGCTCACCTCACCTAAGCAAATGTAGCTTAGCTAAGTTAACATTAGCATCAGGTAGCATAACTTAACCTTTTAAGTTTAGCTCATCCTGCCTGAGTTTATGCAACCTGAAGCAAACCGTTGCTTAGCTTGCCTTACTGTAGCTCGGTTTAGCTTAAAGCTAAAGTGTGTATTTGTCAACTGTCATTATGTCGTGACAGTACAATGTGAGACGGACAATCTGTGAAAAAAATCAAGCTGTCTCCTGGTTCTGTCATCTTCTGTTGTTTATGAAGATGAGCTGTCAAGTAAATTTTAGTGCCACGTTTAAAACTCCCGTTAGTTTTTCTGACTCGATTAAAACAGTAAACTAAAACAGTCCCTTGCTTTGTTTTTATAGCTATTTTGAAGAACTGACTCTTTCACCAGTTGTGTGCTTGTACTCAAAACTCTTTGGCGGGAAACTCAAGTTGAAGGCCATAACTCAAAACACAAGGCTGCCGGCAGTGCCTTTTGAATGCTGTGGTTATTTATGGTTTGTTATTAAGAGATGAATAACATAGCGGAAAATCTTTATAATTATACAGCATAAACACCACAAAGAATTAGTTGTAACTTACAATTTATGTTTACTGTTCACAATATTATGATGTCTTTGTTACCACTTTGCTACTTGTGAAGTAAAGCTTATCAAACTAATTAGCGTTGTTGGCCACCACATTTAAATGTTTTTATTTATTCAATCAATCCATCACAAGTCCATGGTTAGACAGATGAAGAAACAAAAACTCTATATATGTTCTGTCTGCTGTATTGACATGCAGAATCTATTTGTTTGATGCTGAACCACCACAATGTTGTCTGGGCTTGTTGTAAGCATTTATGTCAAACCAGCAATTAAAGGTGTTGGCCCTCTCGTTTTTTTCTTTTTTTTTTTTTTTTTTTTCTACTGCCAGAGAAATTTATAGACAATTTTTTTCACTTCTTTCTATTTTTTTGCGTCTTTTCCAACTTGAGAGGAATTTCCTTCCTCCAGTCGTAAAGCCCAGCTGAATCATGGCTCACATCAACAGGTTGGGAAGAGTGAGAGCTATGCTACATTACATACTACCGGATAAAACTCTTTACTGCCACCAACATGTCAATAAACGGATTTTAGAGTCCAGAAGCGGTAGCACGCAAAGCCCCGGTGGTTTTGGGAATTTGAAACCAGCTCGCGCTTAGTTAAACCACCGTCAGTGTGGTTTGTGGCAGTCTGAATCGATCTATATAATGTCTGCAGTTTGCGCCATCGCTACTGATGAACACTGGCAAGAAATTAATCCTTTTGACATGTTTGTGTTTTCTCCGTTTTTAGCTTAAATGTCTTCCTGTTCTCCAAGCACCGTGTCGCCCAGCCCCATTATTTAGTATTATCCAGAGTGCGCTTATGTGAAAATAAGCTTAGCATATTTGTCTTCCATTCATACACAAAAAGGGGCTGCATCACGTAAAATTGACTCTTGTCAGCTTTGCATCATGTTATGTTAGCCCCTCGTCAAAAACATACCTGGAGTTTTGCCTTGATTATTTCATTTATGTTTGAGAAATTCTTGACTCTCCTCTGGTAAAAAAAAAAAAAAAAAAAAAAAAACATGGGAAAAAATTTTTCCCCCCCCGGGCGCCCCCACAACCCGACCCCCCTCCCCCAGTATG